TATATATATATATATATATATATATATATATATATATATATATATGAAAAGAGGGGGTGATTTTTGTTGTTGCAAGTTATGATGTTGGCTCAAATGGGTCAACCCTTTCATTTGTAATTGATATTATGAGATTTGGTTATTTCTTAAATATTGAAATGTGGTTAAGTTTACTTATTTCATATAAAAAAATGACTTTAAAATGTTGATATGACATATTGAGAGTGATATATTTTAAAATTTTGCATTTTGGTTGGTTTTTTGAATGTAATAATACCAATTCAGACAGAAGAAAATGTTATCGATTGATTCGAACATACCTATAGGATAGAGGAAAAGGAAAAAACTGAAATATTTCACATAGTGTTTTTAATCAATCTGATTTATTTCGTATCATTCGCTCAATGAGAATATGAGTTCAGTTCCAAGGATCAAACCTACGAGACTTAAAAAATAATATAAAAAAGGAGGGAAAAATATTCATATTAAATAAAAATCAATAAAATAAGTAAATAAAAATGAAGTAGAAGAACTCGGTGAACAAATTCAAACTTGAAAAAGATATTTTTGATTCTCGATAAACGAGGGGCAAAGAGATTGATCGAGTAGATTTTTGAAAGTATGAACCAAAATCGTTGATGTGGTACCCTAAGAATTGAATAATATTCAATCTCTTATTATGATTGAGTTTTGTATATCCCATATCGATTGAGGGTTAGAAGATTGTAAAAAAAAATGGTGGGTTTGTAAAACGAGGTTGAGATGCCTTTGGGACAACTCATGGGGTTAATATATTAATTTAGAAAATACAAAAAGAGTTGATCCGATTTATACAAACTCGTGTGGAAATTACGAATTGGATTCCTTGCTCTAATTTATTATCGATAGAATTCTTGTGGTTTCACTTTTATTTTTTATTTTTTTAATTAACCTGAATATCCAACTCGATATGCAAACCGGTTAATCTCAGGATGACCACCTGTTTTGCGGGTAGTCCAGAGTCACCACATTTGAACCTTCGTGGCCAAAAGAGGATTTTTATTTCTTCTTGGATTTGAAACTGAGATCTTCAGACACTTTTGATCTTTAAAAACCCAAATCAATGACGCACCATACTTGTGGCTATGGTTTCACTTCTATTATGAATCATGTTTTTTAGCATCAACCCAATAAATTTGGTTTATTAAATCAGTGGTATATGATTTTACGTTTATATATCTTAAAAAATTTACGCTTAGACCCTATGTTTTTTAGATGGTTTCACGGACAACCACACCCCAAAGAGTAGGTGTGCCTCTCAGAGTAGGGCACCCAATTGGTAAACTTCATATACCACAAGGACCAAATCTATGATTTACTATAAAACTTGATGATGAGAAACGTAAGACTATGTTTGACGAGCTAGCTAATAAGTTAGCTGTTAGCTTATACACTAGCTAATAAAGAAATAATATTTGGCAAAAATTAGCTGATAAACATGTAAAATGATCAAAAATGATATATTAAAAGATTAATCAATTATAATATTTTAAAATATAATTGAAACAAATTTATAATAATATAATATATTAATTAATACAAACAA